GTGCGATTGGTTGGATTCACTTGAAGTTACAACGGATTCACTTGAAGGTGAAAAGGTATATAGATCTTTCACGCAAGGTCTTTGAATTTCAGTTAGGTTTGTTGTTCGCTGGTGCGTTGATTGTCGGTCCGCTTTTCGGGATCGGCCCTTAGCCTCATGCACCCAATGAGACAAGCGGAACGGGACAGCACCGTATTGGCTGGGGGGCCGCCCAGCTTGGACAGGTGGTTGCTGTCGAATGAAGTACAAAGACTTCTCCCACCGTCGAGAGAAAGCCCCAGGTACCCCGCTCCTACGTGCATCTAGCGGGGCTTTTTGACTGATAAATTGCCGCTCGCCGTGTTTATTTACTGGAGTGGCCTCTCCAAGTGTGGATGTGGATAGAAGAAGGAAGCCAGTAGGTGCCCAAGGTGCTGTGAGACTGGGCTTTGTCTGGCCTCAACCCATTGACCTTTCAGACATGATTGGATCTACGGCTGTGAAAAGCCATTCTGTCTAGCTCGCAGGGTCACGGAGGCACGCAAGCCATCACACCACGTCAAGATGCAGTCTCGTCGTGATGGATCCTTACGTTCACCCTTTGTGTGTCAGGCGATTTGGCACCCGAAGCTCGCGGTGTTTCTGGTTTGGGGATTGTGCTAAGTGTCAAGACTGAGCGCTGGCTTCTTGACTAGCTTCCAGTCAATAGCCCACTGTGCGGTTCAGCATGGGTCAACAGCGGCGGACCGAAACGTCGATGCTTATTCGTCGTATCCGTGTATGCACAGGCTGATTGCAGTTCACCAAAAATAAGGGTGAATTCTACAAGGACCCTTATCAACTTCCTCAAAGTGTTTGATCGACAGACATCGTGGTAGTCACTGAAGACTTTAGTGCTCAAATGGGATCCCTGGATTTATCAGAAAGGCTACTTGGTGGTTCACATGCAGCCCCAACTAACAGTACGGACAACGGAGAACGCCTTCTCCAGCTTTGCGCTGATCACGGGCTGTGTCAGTCAAGTACCAACTTCTCGCACAAGAAACGACACCACCTTGCATGGAATCCGCCAACTTCTTCACACCGCCGGACTCAAATCGACCACATCTCCATCAGCCCCAAAGGATCCATTGAAGACTGCTGCTCCTACTGGTCAACATTCGTAGACACAAACCATGCTTTACTGCGAGCCAGATTCTCCCTAAGTCCAGTAAACAACCGCAAAAAAAGCCACCGAAAACGAATTACCACAACATAGTGTCAGGACCAGTTACGAATCGGGCTTCGAAGCGGAACTATCTGATGACCCATCAGTTCAACCACCAGCCGAAGGACTCAGTGAACACTGAACGGCAATCAAGGAAGTGGTCCAAATGTCAATTAAACCAACGGCGGATTCTGATGCACGAAGCAAAACGATGGATCTCATCGACCCGGTTGCCCTACTGGACTCTCGCAGAGCCATTCCTTCTGATGTAAAATACGACAAAGCGCGGAAATCCCTTCCTTATACGCCAGCTTATCAAGAGCCTGAGGAATGACTGCAAGAAGTGGTGGGTAGGGAAGTGTGGAAAAATGGAGAAGGCTGCGGCTATTGGTAATAGTCGCAATTTTTCCCGTTTAATTCAGACTACGGGCCCAAGGAAAGTAGGTGTAAGTGAGGTAATTAAGGGGTTTGCCGGCACACTGATTCATATTCAGCAACGCCAATCTAGATCGACGGACAGAACATTTTAAGTTGCAGCACCTCTGGACCCCGTCGACACAAAACCTCCCTATACCTGCTTCAACTTGGCAGATACCGCCGGTTGATATCAGTAGTCCATCTGAAATGGAGGTAAGTCGGGCAATTAGTTATCTCAAAAGGTATAAAGCTTCCGACTCAGATGGGCTGTTCCCGTCGGCGTTTAAGGATGTAGACTCAGCGTTTGTCTTTGAGTTAAAAAATGTTCTGGGCTCAATGTGGGAGAGGGAATAGGTTCCAACTGAATGGTGTGAATCGGGGATCATACTGATTCATAAGAAAAGTGACAGATCCTCTTGTGATAACCACAGAGGAATTAGTTCAATCAATGTTGCTTCCAAACTTCTTGCTGGAATCAATCGTCTACCGTACGGGAAGAGTGTACGCGTGAGAACTAGGCAGGTTTTAGACCTGTTCGAGGTTGTATCGACTACATCTTCATTCTTCGCCAAATTTTGGAACACCGGCATTCTTTTCGCAGACCCACCATCTCTATCTTTCTCGATCTGAAAGCGGCTTTCGACTCAGTCGACCGCTCTAAACTTTGGTGCTGCTTTTCCCTGAAACGTGTGCTCGAGAGGTTTACTTTAAATTTTGCGATCCCTTTATACTCAACCGATGTCGAGTTCGTGCTTACGGCACTTTTTCACCTAAATTCACTACGGAAGGTGGTGTTCGGCAGGGTTTTTCTCTCCTTTTCTATTTGACTTAGTTATAGATTTGACCATCGAAACATCATTATCATCGTGCGAGAATAGTGGCATCGATTCGCTCCCAGATGGCAGACTGTCTGATCTGGGGTATGCAGTGAAGATCCAGGTAAGTTGCATACTTGATAGCTTGAGTGCAAATGTTCGTTTTGCGCCTTTAAAGTGTGAAATATTGCCACAAGACTGAGTCGATCCAGCACCCAGCCTCACCATAACTGGGGAAGTAGCAGAGCAAGTGAACGAGATTTGTTATTTGGACAGCTACATCTCACCAAGTGGACGCATCACAGGTTGGAATTTATGCTGCGGCAGTTCGGCCAGTTCTGCTATGCGGTACAGAAAACAGGATCAAGATAAACTGTCGGTTTGAACACCGCTATCACCGCATTGCACGAATCTGGTGGGGCAATCAGATGAGCGATGCTGAGGTTAGGCGTAGATTTTTAGGTAACCTCGAACGCCGATTGGAACCAGTGGTCGACCTCCATAGATTACTTTGGTTCGGGCATGTGTTACGCATGTCACCTTATAGGTTGTCATGGCGCGCGATGTTTACCGAGGCAGGTAGTGCGTTGAAAAAGGTCAAGGGAGGTCAGGCTAAGACCTGGCAAGAGGGTATGAAAACCCTAACCAGGACGCTGGGTCACACAGGTCACGTTAGACTCCCTGAATGGGGACTTCGCGATGATCGTAACCGGTGGTTAGAGGCGCTGAGGCATATGGCTGATTGCCGCAACCAATGGTGTTCCTGCATCTTTTAAATTTTTTACAACCACTGAAATTCTCAATTTTAACTCTTTGATTCTACTTCCAACTTTCCTGTTTTTTCTTACTTTTTATCCACGTGGTCAGCTAAACGACAGCAACCAAAACCGGCGCACGATAGTGTATGGTTGATAGTTATATAAACTGAACTGAACTGAGTTATCGTTCGCTTAAACTGTATAGGTGTTTGTGAACGCTTCAATCGCCTTGACAGCAGATGATAATGTTCTGAAAGAGGCTCGTAAAAGATGTGAACAGTCGCCGCAAGCGAATACGTGTTATTACAGGTAACCAATATCAGGTTTGTCATTCGTGTATATAGTTACCGTACTACGGAAGACACATATTGGTATTCGGTGACCATGGTAAAGATATTGGTTACATCAGGTTACGCTGTTCGCACAGTTCCGGTTTCCTTATCCCGATCTTCATGTTTTCGGTAGGAGTCAGAAACCCCTTCGTTTTTATGAGAATGGATACTCGATCCAGTCATCTCACTGGTGCAATGAACGAGTGATTATGATCTATTCAGCCGCTATACCATAAATTAGCCTGCATTCACAATCGCCACGGGCTTGCTATTCAGTTTTATACAGAGAAGTGTATGTATTCATATTAACTCCACAGAAAGATCAATTCGAGGAATTACTGAAGTCTCTCAATCACGATACACTCCAATTTGTGAAATCCTGTAAGGTACAGTAAATTGTTTAAACCGACCAGAAGTTACTATCCGTGTATTTATCGGCACAAGCGTGCGGTTTTCTACAAATTTATCGATTTATTTTGGTCCCAGGACGGGAAACAAATGACCGGTTAAAGCATTCATCCTGGGAAGTCATTTCTATAATCCGAGTTTAGCGGATGGTCAATAAATTTTTCTATCGATAAAACGTAATTAATCCTGTTCAAGTAGTGGGCTGATCAGGTAATCCTAGAGATCTGTAACTATGGCAACCAGGTGCTTCATTCATATTGTTTCGCTTTGTTTTTATGAATGCTAACTTGATCACGTGACGCACTGCCGTCACATTTTTCGTGAAGCCGATTCCACGGTCCCCTGATAAAAGTTCATCTAAATTCCTGATTGTGAAACTCAGTGATGGGCCATTTGTTTTGCACAGATTATTCTGAAAAACCGCACAATCGGTATCTCCGGCTGTTTAAACAATATGGCTACACAATATGTCTATCGGACTCCAATGATCGGCCCTCTGTTGGCACTTGTATTCGAACTGTACCTGGCCACACCGGAGCTGTTCGCGTTTGATTTATGGACCGGACAACAAATATCCTTCCGCACTGCCCAGTCGGAACCGGTTGATTCGTCGTACTTCGCAAATAATCGGTTTTGGCCTATTCCCACCGAAGATCTGGATCCAGTTGCGCACACAGATTGTACATGCTATCCGCACTGTCTCTACCAACTGTCCGTCCAAAGTCGACAACGTGCCTTATCTCCCACGGATACCTTGGCCGGGATCCGAAATCGTTGGCTGATGCATCGATGTGGCGCCCTTCGAAAGGGTAGCGGTGATACGGACCAGATTCCGTGTTGGTCTCCAATGCCATTGAAATACGTTTGTCGGGCTGCGATTCGACGATTAATTGTGAAGATACATGGTATGTGGTGATTCGTAGTTACTTGACTGCGGATCTCGGGATGATTGTAACCGATGTTTAGAGACACTGAATGATATGGCTGTGTCGGAAACAGTGGCGTTTGTGCATCTCAATTTCTTTGCAACCTTAGACCACTGAAATTCTCCATTTTCCGTTCGACTCCACTTTCAACTTTCCTGTCTTTCTCCAATTCATCCAAATTGGCGGCCAAAAGACCGGCGCACGAAGGTGCATGGTTAATGGTTGTAAAAACTGAAATAAACTTAGTTGCTTATTGAGAGTGTTGTAATAGCATGGGCATCCTTGTGTGCAATCCTACCATTTGTAGCTTATAGCGATGTGTTCAATCCAGGTCGCTTTCTGATATCAGCCCGATTCGTTTTAAGCTTTTAATCATGTGGTTTTTTATAAAAAATATATCCTTGACTCTGCGGACTACTTCTGGCTGATGACCATAGAGGGTGAGTGCAGACACAGGCTCCTGCCCTTCTTGAACCAGCACTTTGCAATTGGTAGGTGCCAAGTACATACCATACCTGGATACCTCGATCGCCAATCGGTTCAAAGCGTTTTGGACTGCCTGTGCGTTGTCACCCAGCAGGGCGATGTCATCGGCATATTCCAAGTCAAGAACTCTGTTCCTTGGGAGGAGTTCAACCCCACCGTTTGCTAGACCGGACAAAGCGTTCTGCAGAACATCCTCTATGACAAAGTTGTAAAGGAATGGGGATATAGGGCAGCCTTGCCGAACTCCACTGGAGACGGCGAAGGGTGGCGAAAGCTGGCCATAGGCCCTAACCCGACCTGATGTATGATGATACAGCTCTTTGAGGATCGACACATACTTCTCAGGTACTCCATTCCTCATCAAACAGTTCCATAGTGCGGTCCTATC